GAGAGAACATGTTTGACAAACCTTTAGCATCAATGAGCTCTCTAGCATGTGCTACATCCTGGGAGAGAAGCAGGAGCGAGGCTATTACGACACCGAGAAGAACTAGAGACTTGACCGCCATTGCTGACGACCAGATTGATCGGGTTATAATACCTAGCTTAGGATGAGATGATATCGCTGCTAGAATTGCCGTATTTATAGACGAGGAAAGGCTTGCATGCACGTCTACACCTATCTCGTCGAGTTAATAGACGGGGGCGAAAGTTTCAACCTTCAATAACTCCATCTAACGCTACGGTTGGCTGTTAGCTAGGATATGATCGAACCGGGCCGAGCATTGGTATATCTCGTTGTCAGACTTGATTAGCTACTGCCACCCAGAAGGCCAGAACGGGGCATTGACATTTATCCGTGGCCTTGAGTACGTATGATCGAGAATGTGTGGAACCACTTGGCAACCAAGATCAGCTAACAAAGTACTCCTTCCGTTCCAAATTACTCGTCGTGGTTTTATGAACTGAGTATTAGAGATTGTCTATCTCCGTGCATCCTTGAATTAATTATCGTGTTCATTGATCGATTACGTCCTGTTATATTGAATCGACCAATTTGCTTATGTACCGTGTTGTGTACGTATACAAAATATCTACTTACAAACGTACGCGCTGAAGCTGCACATGTAGATTTGTTGTGAAAATACTTCAACATCTACAGAGTATAACATGTATACGTGCACACACGCGCGCACAATGATTATTGAAGACCAGAATTGCCGAGCAAAATTTACAAGTCACAACATATACCTCGCTGTACGGAAACATCACCTTGCACATAATATCGCGCCTTAATGAGACATACGTGGTGTCAAACCTAAGGAACTTTGTATGCTTTTTGAACTTCTTTTTCTGTGATTTGTTGGATATGGACAAGTAATTGTTGCGGTACTTGACAAATTGATAGCTTGTATGGACATATGCGATGTATATGGTGATGCCTGCCGATATGTTTGTGTATATATATACTCCCTCCATGGAACTTATTTTGAAACGGGGAGTATATACAGAGCCGTCAACCACGGAAGGTCGTGCCACGTGGCTCCTGTTTGCTGAGTGTTTTGTCCCTGGCTCTAAGCAAAGGACGTATTGGTCGAGTGTTTTGTGTTTGCCAAGCATTTTTCTGCTAGCTCTCGGCAAGCTGAACGCTCTACCGAGTGCCCATGTTTGATAGGTGTGGTCATTGGCAAAGTGTCGATTTGCCAAGAACCCATGATATGGAGCTTGGCAAAAGACCACATCACTCGCCAAACGTCAATTTTCCAATAGTGACAACTGCATGTTGAGATAAATATGAAGAGTGTGGATCACTCCTATATAAGATCAATCTTGCTGGGTCTCAGTCGACTGAGACTACGTGAAGTCTCAGTCGATACTATCCGTGAGATCTTACATTGTATTTGTGCGATGTTTCTTCTTCTGTTATTTCCTTTTTCTTTCTTGCATGTTATGTCAGACATAGTTAAATCTCAGCTGACTAAGACTTAGTCACCCTCATATAAAATTCCTTACAGGCGTGAACAAACCGGCCGATCAGGCCTAAAAAATACGCATTTTTTGAGCCAGTACTTCTGTTAAGAAAACACAAGCCAAGTGCAAAGTAAACACACTACATAACCGAAGGACGAAAAGAAAAACAAAGCTGAGAGGGTGGCAGCAACGGAGCAACCACACTGACAAATCATAAAAACACGTCACGCTACATCGCAGCCATGGAGCAACATTCATCCTCTCCGATCCAATTAAGCTGTGGCTAAGTCTTAGTCAAGTGGAGGATGAGGGGCCGAGCTTCATACTTCTCCACCTCCTCCTCCTCCAAAAAAGAAAGTTAGGGTTTGTGCCTCTCGCCGGCGCCGGCGCAGGTCTGCCTCGTCTCCGGTGGCTCTAGGGCCATGGAGGCGCGGTGGATCCTGGCAAGGGCCGGCGGGAGGGCTCCGTTTTTAGTCGTTCTTTTCAATCTTGTTAGGGTTTGTGTCCTACTCAGGAAGGTGAGATGGCGGCAGCTCTCTGAAGATGGAATAAAGGTCTTCCCGCCTAGTCCCCGTTCTGGCGGTGCGTCTAGCATCGTTGGTGGGCGTGTGGAGGTGTGCCTCCGGCAGATCTATCTTGGTGGATTTGCTCGGATCTCGTCGTTGTTCGTCTACGTTCGTGTGTCTTCGGTTTGGATCCTTCCGATCTATATTATTTTTCATCGGCGGCTGTTGCTGTTCTGGGGTGCTGGTCCTATGGGGCCTTAGCACGACGACTTCCCGACTGTCTACTACAAGTTGTGCCTGGCTCCGGCGATGGAGGGGCGATGACGGCGGCGCGCCTTCGGCTCGCTTCGGTGCTTATAGTCGTCGCTAGGTGGTCTACAAATCTGGATGTAATTTTTATTTCTGTTATTCGTTGTACTGCCATGATTGAAGATGAATAGATTGGAAGTTTTTTCGTAAAAAAAAGTCTTAGTCAAGTGACATAGTTTATAAAAAGAAAAAAAAATTGCACAGATCTCCATGCAAGATCAAACGAATCTAAGACTTAGAAAAACTGATCCAATTAACAAACCGCGCGCGAGTAGTACACCAGAGAGCTAGCAACGGCCAGCGCTTAGGTACATACATGCATGGGAGCTTAGAATCGGCAGTGCGCCTTGCAATTGGCATCGCAGTCGTAGAAGTAAGGGCCGTCGCACACTCCACTGCATCGGGCACAGCAGCTTCATGCCCCGGCACCGAGTGGCATACCTAGGAGGTGTGCCAGGTGTGCCATGGCACATTCAAAATTTTGGAAAATATTCTTCTACCACGCACTGCATTGGGCACAGCAGCTTCATGCCCCGGCACCGAGTGGCATACCTAGGAGGTGTGCCAGGTGTGCCATGGCACATCTAGAATTTTGGAAAATGTTCTTCTATCATGTAATAATTAGTTGATTTTTAAGGCCCATTCAAGCCAATGAAAATATACGTTGATTTTTTGAAATGTGCACACCCTGCATTTTATTTCTGGGCCGGTGCCGCGTTCTCCTCCCGCGCGGTGCCCCCGGTCTGCTTCCTTTTCCGTGCCACTCCGACTTGGTGCCACTGCCACTGTTGCCACCTCCTCCACCACCTCCTCCTCCACCACCACCGCCCCCAGTGCCTCATACCCACCCCCACCCCCACCCCCAGCCGTATCCCCAAGAACTGCCGCCGGTACTCCCCCGCCTCCACCGCCCCCATGGTTTCTTGCTTTCGGCCGACGGTGCCGCTGCCATTGTAGGTACCGCCCGCCTGCACCTTAACTCGAGCAGCTTCTGCCACGGGAATCACCGGCACTAGCAAGAGAGCCATCAAGAGTGCAGTTGCGCCGCACATCGTGGGGCGCGCGGAGCTCATGCATATTGGCAAAGGAAGGAGAGACTTGGACGTGTTTGGTTGCCTGCATTAGACCCAGCGTGATCCGTGCGGGAAAGATTGAGTCCGTTTGGTTGGTTGCATTTACTGTTGGGCCTCCACAGCACGAAACTTAAAGCACACCTGGGGCTGGCTCGCTGGAAACACTCAGATCGGCAGTTTCTAGCGAGTCTGGTTGAGGGAGGAATACGAGCTGGTATGTAGCCTGTGCATGCTTATCTTCTCCTACCTCCAGTAACCTTCTCTCTAATTCTATTCTTTCTAGACCCTTCCGATCTACACAACGGTGCTTCGATTCGAGGTAAGCTCTACACGAAGAAGATGCACCTCGATGCTACCGGTTCATAGTTTTGTCGGCCGTAAGTTCTTAATTTCGTCTTCCCGTTTGAAGCTATTCTGGACGAATTTTGTCAGATTTGTCGCGCACGATCGATCGTTTGAAATTTCCTTTGATCAGCAGTCTAATCTCACAGTTCCGCACAACATTTGTGTTGTAAATTTTTGGTTTCGGCGATCGTAGCTTCATCTCTCTTTGAACAACAGCCTATTACATGGCCGCCGCCATGTCGAGCTCCTCTGTCCTCTGCTCAGAGCCCTCATATTCGTCACTCTCGACGCCGACGCCCTTCCCCTTGATCTTCTTGCCCACGTCCTACTACACTAGAGTTGTTTCCGGTGTCACTCATCTCGGCCTACTCTCTGTCGTCCTCGTACTGCACTAACGCTGCAATGACGCGCACACTGCTTTCTTGTGTTCTCTGCCTCCGTGCACACCGCAGTTCGCCGCGCCGCCGCCGGGGTCGATCGTCTTGCCCTTCTCTCTCTCGCCCTACTACATTGGAGTCGTTTCCAGCGTCGATCATCTCGGCCTCCTATCTCGTCCACTACACTGACGATACCATGGCGCGAGCACTGCATTCTCTCCTCTGTCGACTGTCTTTGCGCGAGCACCACAACTAGTTCACTGACGGTGTCGCTCGCCGTGCCGCCGACGGGGTCGCTCGTCCACGACTCCATGTTCGTCATGTCGGACACGACGCCACGACCATTATCCACCGCAGTCGCCATTATCCTACGCACACTGCATTTCTTCTCCCCCTCCCTCTGCTAGCTCTTAACCATATGTGCTAAGTGCAAGTGCTAGCTCTTAATCATACCTCATGCGTGCAACCAAACATCATGTTCATGTGCCGCTTGGGCCAATGCAGGCAACCAAACAAAGTGCACTTGCGTATTACCTAATGCAGCGACCCTAGATGCAGACAACCAAACAACTTACAGATGACACATTTGAGGTTATTTTTGCTCAACCAAACTGAATTGAGATGTGTATGCAATGCAACTACTGTTCACTACTGCAACCAAACACGCACTTGACGGATGCTGGCTTCTGTACTGAAGCCACCAGACGAGAGAATATATAGGAGCAGCGGTAGGCGCAAGGTTCGACCGCTCAATCAGCTTTGGTAGTGGGTAATGATGGATTGATGGGAGCAGTTAAGTACTGTACGACGCAACGAGGTAGCACGAGAAGGCGATCGAGAGGGACAAACCACATGCAATTGACAAAGACAAGGGCTGAGATTAATTACTTCAAGTGCAGTAGTGCACGTCTTCTGTTCCACGGTGTACAACAACAAGCACATGGAGGTACTCAGTATTATGGTAGAGCTAGCATGGCTTATACCAGGA